ATATATATATATATATATATACTACCTTATAAAAGAAATCTTACTATTTCTATAAATACAATCAATATAATAATAATAAATTTTTAAAACGTTCAAGTCTTTAAGCTTAAAGTACAACCAATTATTAATATAATAATATTATAATATATATCTTACAAATGATAATGCTAGGGATACAAGTATTAAACACACATTTAAATTAGTATTTCCTTATTTTTAGGGATTGAATTAGTATTTTCATCAATTTTGACCCAACTTGTACTCCTAAAATATATCTTCTATGGTATCTGGTGCATTCGAAATCGGAAACACTTCTTTTTGACAAATCGTTTGAAATTTAAAAGCTCATTCAAATTGGAGTTCCCTAATTTTTTGCATAAAATATAGTTGACTGGAGATTAATTCAAATCTTCATCTCCTTTTCCTCCATGGAATCCACCACCACAATATTTTTTGGTTTTGGCATTGCACTTTTTATTTTTGTGAAACCGATCGATAATGATGCAAGTGTTCTTAGAAATATAACATGTCTCCGAATGAATTAATATATATATATATATATATATATATATATATATATATATATATATATATATATATATATATATATATATATATATATATATATATATATATATATATACACCTTACGAAAGATGTAGTTTCTTTGCTGTTGTTTTGGGATGCGGTGTCATAGGTTCTAGTGTTGGCTGTGGTATATCTTTGTTAATTGTGTCATCTATTTTCATAGCAATCTTGAAGACTGTACTTTTACCTCGAATATCATGTATTTATGGAGGAATAGTGTTGGGATCTGAAAATCCATGTGTGATGACCAATGTTTACAACTTTTGTAAACCATTTGCGTCATGGCTTCATTAAAGAATATAGCCCTTGCGTGTGAACTTTCATCGGAAATTGTTGTGTTTACATAGTACCCAATGATTTGAAGACTTTAATTGTTAGAATAATGGGTGTTGTTAGAAAACAATACAATTTAAAAATGTATTTTCATTTTGGAATGGAGTTTACATGAAAAGTGGTTCAGGAACATACATGTGGTCTTCACAAACGAAATTGTGGGGTCGTAGGTTTTTTTTGGAATAATTTCTTTAGACAACGTGGACATGTAACATAATACCACTTAAGGTGTGATGTGGTTTCAGTTACGCTTTTTGTGCATGTAAACTTGTTTTTCTAAATTTAATAAGCATACCTTATGCAAAATATTCGAGTAATGAAGTGATAGCCTCTAACAACAATAGTAATAAATTGTCTTATACCATTGGATCTTGCTTGAATTATTTAGTATTTCACGAATGGGAAGTATTGTTTGACTTTTTTGTATATTTGAAGCTTGTTTCATCTGACTGAATCTGTAATTAAACAGAGACGTATTTTATGTTGGTGAAATATGTTCTTTTAGGTAAAGGATACGCGGTTACCTTTCAATGAAACTCTATAAATTTGTGATGGGTGGATTGAGAACTACAAATGTCACTTCCGTAGCTTCTAGCTGCAAGTTTTTTGTTACAATCAATTGGTTTAAGTAAGGAGACTTAATTGTTTGTTGAGTAAACCAAAATTAGCAAAAAGATTTGTTATGTACTTTGATATTCGGTTACTAGTGCAGTGGTAACTGCTAGGTCTTTGCCGACTGCTTTGTCTTTTTATATGGAAAAACTGATAGATCCCAGAAAGTGATTTCTATATTTTTTTCAGATCCCAGAAAGTGATTTCTATATCTTTTTCACTGTTGTAAGATATGACGAGTAAATAACTGAATTTATTAGTATCATTTTCGTTTGGTAGACTCTGCTAATGGAGGTTACTGACCATTGGTCTTGTATTTTAACTTTTTTGTTTGACTTTCCTGATCGGATTATTGGAGGGACACTGTCTCAACACGGCCTATATAATATGCATATAAATGAATGAATTTGCCAATAATACTAGTTATTATTATTTGTGTGACGAACGAAATTGAAGTTGAACGCTAGCACATTACATTGTAATGGGAAAATGACTTACGAGCCCAACGAAGTGTTCAAACTGTTCAAGAAACCTCAATCATGTTTTGTTTGTTCAAGAAAATCCAACGAACTTGACATTTTGTATAAAAAAGCCTAACTAAGTTACACTTTTGTTCAACTTTATGGAAGTCAAAGAAGAGAAACAAATGATGTGGCTCATTAACCTATCGGGAAAATGACTTGTTAGAACAAAGTTTCCAAACCGTTTAAAAAAACCTAACAATGTTTTGTCAGATAAAAAAACCCAACGAGTTTAACCTTTTGAACAGACAAAACATGATTGAGGTTTTCTGAACGGTTTGTAAACTCCGTTGGGCTTGCAAGTCATTTCACACATTGTAAATTAAGGGTTTTTTCTTACCAACAAATGGTTTTGGATGTACTTTTCTTGTAGGAAACATCTCATATGTAGCAAAATCATAGAAGTAGGAGGGGATGCGTGGGTCACCAAGGCATACAAATGCGTCATGTTGGACCACTCTTCTGAAACCTCTGGATTGCTAGCTATCAGTTATGGTATAACATAGGTTCTCTTTTATTTTGGGTCTGTAGTTGCCTCTTTCTTAATTTGGGTCTGTAGTTGCCTCTATGGCCTCTCCCTGTAATAGATTCGTAGTAAAGCTGGAATATGTATGTTAAATAAGCATATGTATAGACGTGTAATGAGAGATATATGTCGATGTCTACAAACAAGTAACATAAATCTTTGTCTCCATTGTGTGCTTTCCATGTTTTGATAACTATGATTTGTAGTGGTATGGGTTCTTCGTGGGGTTTGACATCTGCGATCCAATACATTTTACTCTATACGAAAGGCATGATGCAGCAATAAGAATACTCTTTTAATCAGATGGTTAAGATGTAAAGGCAGCGATGAGTAGGAAATAGTAAGATTAGTGTATAAAATGTAGTAGGTTTAGTTTAATAAAAAATATACATTATCAATGGGAAATTGCAAATAGCATAAAATGGATATTTGACAATGGCTATTTCCCATGAAGTGTTTTATTTCATTACATAATACTCTACATCCTTACTATTAAGAACTATCGGCTTCTAATTTTTTAAACCGTCATTAACAATTGACAATTGTAAAGGTGTATTTCCAATTTATGTTTTGTCTCAAGAAAGATAAAAGTGGTTGTGATGTTGGGAAAATTTAGTGCTTTAATGTATCTTTTATCAAAAAGTATACATTATAAAATCATTATGTTGGTAACGACGGATGAGCTTTTAGGAGGAAACTGAAAAGTAATCTTTTTTTGGTACCCTGTGGTGTTTAGTGCTATAAAATAAGATTTACATGCATATGTTAATGTTAGTAAGATTTGCGGGTATTTGGCATGAAAATGGTTGAAATTTTACCTACCTGAAAGAATTGGTTGGATAATCAGCTTTTCAGTAGTAAGGCGTAATATGATGGAGATTTGTTGTTGAAGGAATACGAAGAAGCGAATAACCCTCATTTTCAAACGGTCTGAAACTTTAGTTCCTGAACATAATTATGAAGGATGAAAGTGAAATAACATCATAGTATAAATAAAAGAGTACAATAGACAGCTGAAATTGGACCAAAATTGTAACTGGGAAGCTATGAAAGTGACAAAGAAGTGAAGCCGAAGTAGTGAAGAATGGTAAAGACGATGGATACAAGCGTACAAAAACATTAAAGAATATGAATAATTATTTTTTTACATAGGCAAGTCGTGTTTGTATAGGAAAGAGGAGCAGAGAACTGACACTTTGAAGCAGAGATGCGCATGTATGGAAAAGGAAGAGAACTAGAGAAATACCAAATGAATATTTAGATAGAAAAGGAGGAAGCTATCCACTAGAATAAAAGAGGAATTTCGTTCCACAAAGAACACCGACTTGTATAAGTTTTATAACCAAAGGATCAAAAATGAAAATTAGGAAAAGTTGAAAGAGAGAAAAATCGAAAGAACGGGCCACCGACATTTCTATTTAGAATAGATTAGTATTTTATCCGCACGCCTTGAGGCGACAAAAATGGATTTAAGAGGTAGTAGAAAGTTTGTTGTTATTTGTTGAAAGTAGACGAAAATGTTGTTTCTATTTTCATTTTGTTTGAGCATATGCCTTCCGATACTACAAACACCATATTATGTAGAAAGAGTTATGTATATTCGTACATTCAAAAATGTTAAAAGTAGAAGAAAATGTTGTTTCTATTTTCATTTTGTTTAAGTATTTGTCTTCTGATTCTATATACACCATATTAAATAGAAAAAGTTATGTACATTCATACACTCAAAAATTAAGTTGCAGTTTCAGGAGGTACCACATAGAACGATTAGCTATAATTCTAGGATGTAGTTAAACACCACTATTTAAAAACATGAGGGGGTGAAAATGACATTGTAGAAGAGTAGAGGGTGGAAAATAAAAGGGGTGAAAGTGAAATTTTAAAAAACATAAAAGTTAAAAAGATAAAAATGATATTTTAAAAAGTAAAGGAGGAGAAAGCTTAATTTTTCAAAATAGGGATGGAAAATGTAGGTAAGTAGAAAGTTGAGGGGTGAATCAAATGGAAAATAAGAAAAGTGGAAGTTTTTCAAAATAGGGGTGAAAATATAGGTAGGCAGAAAGTTGAAGGGTGAAGAATGGTGAATACGAATAGAAAATAAGAAAATTGGAAGTTTTTCAAAATTAAGGGTAGAAAATATAGGTAGTCAGAAAGTTGAGGGGTGAAGTGTGGTGAATCAAATGGAAAGTAAGAAAAGTGCAAGGGAGGAAAAAAAAAAAAAAAAAAAAAAAAAAAAAAAAAAAGGCTACCGACTTTTCTATTTAGAATAATTCTCAGTTTTTATAGGGATTGAATTGTAACAAGTCAAAGTTTAGGGGCTAAATCAAAACTTCATTTCACAGTTTTGCATAGATTTACGCCTAATTTGAGTTTCCTTTCAAATTTTCGGGTGGGAAAGCAGCGAGAGCTTTGTTGACACCATGGAAATGGTGGAAGAAGGACAAAATCAACCTAAAATTGCTACAAAGCGGATAAAGTTTGAAGAAATCGTGGAGGTGGGTGGAGGAGATCGAGTCACTGCGTTGCCGGATTGCTTGCTTGTTGAAATCCTGTCTCGTTTACCCTCCACAGAGGACGCTATCAGAACAGGTACTCTCTCCAAGCGATGGAAACATCTCTGGACTTCGGTTCCTTCTCTCATTTTCGATGATGATAATCATCCGCGGCTGGATTTCGTTTCGTTAGTCACCAAAACCCTAAATCAATGCCACCATCAGAAGCTGAAGAAATTCGTAGTGTCTACCAGATATGATACTCGATCTGAATCGCAAATCCACGATTGGATTCGCTATGCTATAAATTGTAACGTTGAAGAGCTAAATTTAAAGTTATGGAATGCGGAAGTCATAGCCGATGAGTTTCTTTTAGATCAATTTTTCTTCATCAATTCATGTTTTACTGATCTTAGATTATCAGGCTGCATATTGTATCCAAGTGGGGCGATTAGCTGGAAAAATCTCAGGAGTTTGTTGATATCCGAAGGGAATTTAGATGAAGAATTGATTGGAAATATATTATCCGGGAGTCCTCAACTGGAAACGTTGGTGTTCAATGAATGCTATGGTTACAAGCGGCTTGATATTACTTCAAAGAGTGTTAAGAACTTGGTGTTCAGTGGATACTACTGGGTTCCTCCTGATGATGAATGTGATGATTTCTCCCATATTATTGAAATTAATGCTCCTAATATTTTATCCCTAACAATCAAAGGTGATTTGTTGCTGTGGAAGATTTTATTGGTAAATGTGTCTTCTTTAATCGAAGCCAACTTAGATTATACAATGCTTGGGCATCATGAGACAACAGAGTATTCACTTTTTGGGTATCATGCAACAACACTTAAAGACGAAGAAGAGATGCTTGAAGAATTTATACTAAACCTTTCCCATGTCAACGAGCTTAAAGTTGGAAGATCCTGTTCTAAGGTAATCTGTCTCTTTTAACAATTAATCTCTGTCTAAAGATCATATGATCATTAGCTTTAGTAGTATTTTTTTGATTATCAGATTTATCCATTCAAGTCACAATAGTCACTATCAATATGCACATCCAAACAGCCCTTAAACTCTAATAATTTGCAAAGATAATCAAACCATATATACATATTTCAGAGTTTGTGATTGCAACTTTTATTTTTGTTTGCTTTATTCTTTATTAATGCATACATGCATTGCATGGTTCTTCTTTTTGTTGTCTTCTCACTCGTATTTTTGTGTTGGTAGGTTGTGTCTCGTTTGGATTTTAATGGTTTTGTTTTTCCATCAAATATCAAGTTTCCTGATGCCACGTATGATTGGTCTGATAGTGATTCAATTGAAAGCAGAGATTGTGATTCAGTTGAAAGTGGAGATTGGTGATGCTTTGATTTCATGTTTATCTCTTGGAATATTTATGTTTTGTTTTTTTTTTTTTTTTTTTTTTTTTTTCTGTAAGATTTACTCTGTTCTGTTGGGTCATCTTCTTTGGGTTGTGTTGTGGATTATTTCTCTTATTTTAAAATATTGATTCAATGAATGTTTCATGTGTTCTTTCTTTATTTAGCTAATACATTATTAGTTGTTAAGATTTTACTTTTGTTTCGTTTATTTAATGGAATTAAGGAAATGACTTTCAGTGAGTTATATATGTATGTTTTGTCAAATTGTCTTCTTCATGGGACTATGATGATTGATTTGCATTCAAAAGGATTTAGGTGAAATTTCTTAAGACATGTATAAGTGGGAACATTATTAACTGGATCTTCACTTTGTTCTTTACATATAACATTAGGCCATTGTCGAGCTCTTGAATTGTTAAGGGTTTAATAGATTGCCACATCACATTAGTATACCACTTTTTAAACTACTCTTACCATTGAAACCACAAACGTTATCAAACTTCATATAGTTTAATGGATTCTTACATCATCATTTGTTTAATCATTTATCATTTTCTTATTTTGTATTTATCATTTTATAAAGGGATATATATACATTAATGTCTTAATTATTTCAACGATTTGAGAATAAATTAAACTTTATTTTTTTACAGTAAATTCCTGACTCCTAACTATCGACAATTTTTGACACTCTTACCATTTTTTGTCGGTTACCCGATAATTAGGATTTTATTGTCAAAGAAAAAGAGTTTAAGACTTTCTTGTTAAATTGTTGAAAATATTGGGACTTTAGTGTAGAGTTGGGTTTCCTTACAAACAAACAATTTTATCAACATCGTGAGATCTAATTCGTAGCCCAAGAACTTTTAATTGTGATTTTCGTCGCAACACTATTATTTTAATTACCATCATCATCTTTATCCTACTACAATCATGATAAGGGAAACAAATGCAAAAGAGAGAGAACGATAGAGGGTGAAAAGATTTGTAAAGCTTTTTTTCAATGTTCATCGCCAAATCTTGAACTAAAAAGAGGGGACAGATTGTATAAACACAAACAGCACATGCTTGTTTGTTTGAATGTTTGTTTGTTTGTTTTTTTTTTTTTTTTGTTTTTTTTAGTTCTCCATTATTAGGAGTGCAAAAAGCCAACACAATTCTGGTTCTTTATTTCTTTCTTGATTATCTCTATTTTTTTTTTCAATTCCGGTTTATTGAGATTAAAAAAAACTATTTAACAATAAACAAACATTAAAGATTTCAATAGGATCTAGCTGAACAAAACAAACAATAACTTTTATGTTTAAAGACTCACCATTAAATTTCTAACCAATAAAATATATATATATATATATATATATATATATATATATATATATATATATATATATACACTAAAGTCCAAAAAATTTCAACAGTTTGGCAAGAAAGCAACACACCTTTTTTTTACAGTAAAGTTCGAATTCACGATTTGATAAGAAAGTCTTAAACTTTATTTTTTTTACACTAAAGTCCTAATTAACGGCTTACCTGCAAAAAAGGGTAAGCATGCCAAAAACTGCTAGTAGTTTGGTTAAAAAAAATAAAGTGTAGGATTTTCTTATCAAATCGTTGAAAATATTGGAATTTTAGTGTATATATCCCTTTTATAAATAAGTAAATATTACATAAAATTCTAACATTGCATTCATTATAAATTATAAATAAAAAAAATATTAAATTACAATTTACATTAAGTAAAATGTACGAAGCCTAAAAATATAAACCTAAAAATATATTAATTCAAAAGTATAAGGTTGCAATTGTTAAAAAGTCTTTCACATTGGGGTAATACAAAAAGGATCAAGTTTAAACGAAATGCAAGAGGCTGCAAGAAAGGATGTTGTGAAGACTTTGGTGTTCTTTAATCTCGTTTGATAATTGTATTAGTTCTACAAAGATCTTGGTAACTTAGAAAAATATATGTATAAACTATAACGTATGCATGGATTATATTTACATTAGTAGATCGTGGAAGAGGAAGGAAATGCACTTAGTCTTTTCATATGGTTGCACACTAGATGTTTGTTTTACATATCCGTAGATGTACATTATGTTCTTTCTCATTCAAATGAGCTTTATGTAAACAAAACATACATGAAACATTTTGAAATGCTTTTACAAGTACTAGTATCACCCCGTCTTCAAGACAAATATAAATAATTAGTTAAACAAGCATGATACCAAATAGGTGAAAATACCAAATAGGTGAAAACTGTGTACCTCCTGCCTATCTATTACGAAGGCATGGGTAAATGTTCCAAAAAAATGAGAACCAAAACCGGCGTAATGAAAAGCATTAAGGCTACAAAGAAGAAAGGGAAGAATAAATCCATTTGAAAAATCTTCCACTGTCGAACGGATGCAACTGCAATCATAGTACGACCTGTCATCATCCTTGCCACTGGGGAAAAGGTCTCTTCATAGTCAAAACCGTACTATTAGGGATACCTTTTTGCTACAAGTCTGGCCTTGTACCCTCAACAGATCCATCGACTTTTGTTTTTATCTTGTACACCCAACGAAAACCAATCGTATGTTTCCCAGGAGGAAGGAAACCAAATCCAATGTATGAGTCTTGTAACATATTGTTTTCGAGGTATTTCCATATTTATCCCTAAGTATGAGAATTAATTGCAATTTAGCCCTTATGTGAGAAGTTGTTGCAAAATGGCCCATAGTGGCATTTTTGTAATAATTGGGCGAAGCACATTTACACTGGACGTACATAGCGTATGCAGGGCGTACGTTCGAGAACCTCAAAACCTAATATTTTGGGTTTTGACCCTATATAAACATGATTAAATCACCAATGCTCATTCCCTTATCAGCCTCCAACCCTCATTTCGTCCATTTCAAACCCTAGTCTCCTGTGTGTTCAATTTGGAGCTTTAAATTTTGTGTTTTGGTGTCTTTGAAGCCAATAGAAGATTGAAGAACCACCTTGGAATATCAAGACCACATAGATCCAGAAGCACCTCACCTTCAAGCTTCATTTTGAGGTATAAATTTTTTAACTTGATGATCATATCTCTAGATCTTGATAATTTTAGAAGTCTATGCTTATTAGCCCCATAGTCTTGGTCTATTTGGGTATCAACTACCCTATACCAAATAAGTTGTCCTTTTGGATGTTTTAGGGTGGTTTGAGTGATAAAAGTGTTATCTTGGACCTTTTTTTTCCTCTCAATGCAAGTGTTGAGATGTCTTAATGGGATAAGAAGTTAGGGTTTTAGCTTTTGGGCACTTGTCAGCTATGAAATACCATAAAATTGGAAACTTTATGGTTAAGTACATTAGTTTTGGGCTAAATTTGGAATTTGGACGAAAGAGCTTAAAGAAGTAAGCTCTTAATATAAGGATTAAGTGAAGGCAACATACATTGGGTGTACGGAATGGTATGCTAAGTGTACTAGGTGAACATCATGTTTTTGGTCAATGAGTGAGTATACCCTACGTACAAGCTGAGTACACCCAATGTACTCAGCTATGTTGACCAAGTTTGACTTTTTTACTTTGGCTAAGTTTGATCTAAGCACATTTTGGGTATTTTAAGTGTTATTTGAGATTGGTCATTATTTGATGAATAGGTAGCCGGTTAAGCTGACATTTAGAGTTGTCTCCTGTTAACGATCATGTTTAGACTGAGAGGTGAGTTTTCCTCACTTTACTTGTGGGATAAAGGCACTAATGCCGGCCCACAGAGTCATGTATCCTAGTTAGAGGTTGTTGCTATGTTGCATTGAAATGTTAGAATTGAGTCCTGGTTTATAGGAGATTGTTATGCGGTAGTGATTTGTAGATCTGACTGTTTTCCTATTAACTGGTTATATGCTAGCTGTTATGTATATGTCGACATGTTATTGTTTGAGGTTGAGGCTTTATCGCTTTGAGCGTGAGCCAATAGACCGGGGTATTCTAGTCTGCTGACTAACTGGACCCAAGGGTATTCCATTTACTAACCATACCCGTTGTATAATGGCATTCTAGTCTGATGACTGATTGGACAGAGGGTATTCTAGTCTGATAACTCATTGGACCCAACATCAAATATTATATATGTTATGTTGTGTGGTTGTACCTTGGGGGAACTCACTAAGCTTTGGCTTATAGTTTCAGTTTATTGTTTTAGGTACTTCGGATGATTATGGCAAGATGAAGGCATAATCATACACCTCCTTCAATGATATGTTTTTGGAGATTTGATGTTACCTTGATCTTGGGAATATTTGTTTCTAGAATTTGATTTGATATGGTTCTGGTTTGAAAACAATTGTTTCTTTTAAATTAAAAATGAAAAATTTTATTATGAATTTTGGGATGTTACAAGTCTAATGAAGAGTAGTGAGTTCCTCAACCATAACATTTTGCCAATGTGGGTCTAATATAACTTCTCTTTATGATTCAGGTTCTAAAAGATGATGGATGCTTGCTATAAATGATGCAAATGGTCCTGAGTATGTAGAGTAAGCAAAATCTAGAAGCTTGGTGGACTTGATAGGACAAGTTAACCTCCTGAGGGGTGGTGGAGATGGGTCATCAATCTCAGCAGTCGAAGGGGCGAACTTAGGAATAGGAGGAGTTAAGGTACTCTCTAAAGAAGTGGGCGTTTCATGAACCGGAGGATCAGGTGGATTAGATGAGTCTTGAGCCTCTATATCCTCATCGAAAGGATCAATACGCAAAAGATCCAACTTTGTTACATTGTGGGTTGTAGAAGGAATCGAGTAGAAAGGGATATGTTCCAAAAAAATGACATGTCGGGAAACATAAACTTCTAACACATATGATCATAGAAACAATATCATTTCTGTCCAACACCATACCCCAAGAAAATACAAATAGAAGATTTTGGTCCTAACTTGCTCTTCTCAACATGAGGACGAAGAACAAAACAATACATCCAAAGACTCATAGAGCATAGTAGTCTGCTATGTGACCATATATCTTCTAAAAAAAGGCATTCCTAAATTCAATGCAGTAGGGATATAATTAATCACAAAAACAATAGTTAAGACTGCTTCTCCCAAAAGGGCATGAGGAATCTACACTTACAAGAGCAATGAGCGGGCTCTCTCAACAATATAATGGTGTTTCCGTTCTGCCACATCATTTTGCTGAGGAGTTTCAGTGCACAATGACTGGTATATGGTACCATTGGAAGCAAGTAACTGAGTAAATGTTGAGTTTTAACAAGAGCTCTAAAATTCCTTTAAATGCCAAGGAAATCAGATCTGCATTTCATAAACTAAACCCAAGTATAGCGAGTATAATTAAATATAAAAGATACATAATAGGTCGACCTACCCTTTGTGGATACTGGTGTAGGAACCCACACATCACAATGAATAATATCAAAAGGAGCAATAGAGCAAAACAAAATTTTACTGAAAGGTAAAGCAGAGAATTTTGCCAATTTAGAACCACTACAATTAGAAATATCACAAGTGTTTAAATCACCCAAAACATTACTAGAAGCTAGAAAACTCAAACGTGATACAAATATATGTCCCAAACGAGAATGCTAAAGATAAAACTGAGACGGCAAGGGACTCAACAAAAAGAAGACAAATCAATACTGGAGGCAGTAACAACGAACACTTTAAGAACCGCCAAGACATAAAAGTTCATCCACCCTTACGGACGATCCTAATCACGTTCTGAGTGTGTTGGTCCTATATAACACATATGAAATTAGAAAAGGACACCCAAGTCCTAGACTTACACAACTGGCTGACCGAAACAATTTTAGGAATGTAATAAACATCAGGGGTTGACATATGAGGAATAGAAAGAGACCCAACACCTTCAAATTTCATAGATATATCACTAGCAGATATATCTGAGATAGATGACATGCGTGACAAGGAAGTAAATGATGACAAATAAGGAAACATATGATTGGTTGCACGAGAATCTAAAATCCACAAAGATGAAGGTATATCCGAAATATCGGATGAAGTAGGACCAGAATGAGACATAGATGCAGACATGACAGTAGGATTGGAGGCCAAATACTATCTAAAGCTCTCAAAAACATTGGGATCCAATGCAGAAGGTGACATGTTTCCAACTGACTACGTGTCAACTTATGGAGCAGCAGCAACAACAAACTGTGTATGTCGAGGTGAACTTAGCTAAAACTTCTCTTGACCAGACCTATTCCGTTGTCCCAAATGAGGCTGACTAGATTTACCCTTGTTGACTAGTAATGGACACTGAGCTTTCTGATGATTTTTCTATTTGCAGATTACACATTAATGATAAGCAACCCTTGGAGTTTGTCAAGACTAATTAAAGGAAACAACAAGCACAACATGAGTGGAAGTAGGAATGTATGTTGCTTTAAACCTTTTATCCCTGTGAGACTTGATACGAGTCTCTTCATAAATCGACTCATGAACAACAAAATCCATCGAGGGAAGGGGGAGTGATGAAGAATTGTTCCACGTAGGCCTTCACAATCAGAACGCAACACCATCAAAAAGTGGACCAAATGTTGTTCTTCCCTCCTAGAAATATAAGGCTCAATATCTTTTAACCCTTTAGATTTAGGAAGAGACAACTGATCCCACAAATCAAACATAACAACATACAAATCTTGAATACTCAGGTCATTTTGTTGAAGGGCATGAATATCATATTCTAGTTGATACGGTTAGTAAAGTTGGACTGAGTATACAGTCTATCCAAGTGATTCCAAACTTCCTTTGATATGTCATTTAGTCAACTAAATACCAATAGATCGCATAACATAATTGTTAATCCAAGTAATGACCTTGGAGTTATCAGCCTCCCAAGCATCAACCAACAAATCGAAATTCTCAGCTTGATGCACTGAAGGTTTGGCTTTAGCCCTAGTGACGTAGCCCCACATATTCTTCCCATGAAGGAAGTTCTTCATAACATAACTCCAATACGTATAATTCTTTCCATCTAGTCAAGTACTGATTGATTGAAGGGAATTATCATTTCCCGTCATATTGGCAATGGATAAATAACAAATACAATAGATAAGAAATAAGAGAATGAGAAGAGAAACAAACCAATTGAAGCAACCAATCGAACAACAAGAGATCGAACAACAACAACAAACTAACAACAACAAAAAATGAATACCAACAAGCAAACAAACATCAAACAGATTGGAAATGAAACAACCATAGATGACTGCTACAAAAACTTCTAATACCATATCAAACCTCTGATACCATGATAATATTGCCATATAGTTATTGAAAGAGATAAATTACAAGGTTATCAATGTAAAGCATAAAGGATACAAAGAAGAAAGGGAGGAATGGATACTAGCCAAGACCAAACCCTAATGGGATAAACCCTAAAGGGCCCATAAACATGTGGCTAATGACATATAGACTAACACAAATGAGCTTCATGTTTTCATGTATATGTCTTAAACAAAACATACATGGAACATTTTAAAATGCTTTTACAAGTACCAATATCACCCATCTTTAAGACCAATATAAACAATTAGACAACACAAACGTGATACCAAATAGGTGAAAAATGTGTACCTCTTGCCTATCTATTACGAAAGTGTGGGTAACTGTTCCAAAAAAATAAGAACCAAAACTGGCGCAATTGGTTCCATACTTTAGGAACTGACCGGTCATCGGTCGTCGGTTCCGATTTTGGTTATGGAATTGGTAATTCCGTACCGGTTCTAGTCCGAAAAGTGGGTCAAATTCTTTGTGGGTATCATTATGGGCAACCCAATCCAAAAGCCATTTTTTAGTAGACCAACAATCTTAACGTACAATAGTTGGCATTTTTGAAAATATAGTAAATGTGTGTACCTTGCATATACCCTAACTCTTTCACGACTACATTTATTTCATGAATTGAGAACTCGTCTATGTCCAACAGATTGATGAAAACACCATTGTTGAACCCTAATAGATGTCACTGACACAGACGTCTGACCGGAACTTGCCACATTGAATTATTGAAAACACCATTGTTAAACCCTAATTGATTATCTTATTCTATTGCTTTAACAAATATGTAAATGGAATCTCGATCTGTAATAGTATCAATAATGTTTAGGAGCAATTAAGCATCATTTATGGATGATCTTGAAAGTTTAGTGTACAAATGTGTATGCAAATGGCGGCAATAGATATATGTAAGAGAGTGACGTGAGGGGAGGAGTTGACTTGAGATTTTTTTCAAATGGTGTTTGAGGACAAATGAGGGGCTAAATCAGCAACAAAAAGGAAAGACAGAGGACTACATCAGTACATCGTGATAAAATGAAAAGTTGGAGTATACTTAAAAAACAAAATAAAAAAAAAACCATAAGAACCAAATTCATGCTGGTATTTCTGTGAAGAAATAAGCGCCAATGAACTTTTTGACGGACCCGCAGGATGGAAGGTTCACACTTAGACCGGCTGACATTTTGGTCTTTGGATGGATAGGAGGGAAGCATGCGTGTGTGGATCTTACTGGGTCTCTCCTCTCGTTGGTTTAGGGAGCGGGGGTTTCACAGCTGGGCATGCGACATTGAAAGCCGCTGCGTGCAAAGTGGTAAAGCACGAGAATGCATGTATAGCAAATTAACATGTGTTTGTTCCTTTTGCATTTGATACATTTGGTTTCTCATACCAGAGGCGGTGGAGCTCCTCAATAGAGTACAACGGGTCATGCATTCTAATGTCATATCTCATAGATCTACAAATGTAGTTTTCAAAAGAATCGGTTTTGCTATCCAGAAAGGGCTAGCGGCGCAACTTGTTGCCCGTTTGCCTTCAATCGATATGTATTGAACTCTCTCTCTCTCTCTCTCTCTCTATATATATATATATATATATATATATATATATATATATATATATATATATATATATATATATATATATATATTCCAATGTTATCTTGAAAAAAAAAAAATTCATGCGTTATCCTATGATTTTCTATTCAACGTATTATGTATATATGTTTTTCTATTCAACGTATTATGTATAGATAGAGTAAGGCGACAAACTTTTTATTTGCTCATTGTGTTGATCGCTCTTTCATTTAATAAAGTAAAGGTAGTTTTCACAGTTGTTTTTTGTGTTGTCTTGGCCAATAAAGAAACACTGAAAATCGATTTAAAAATTGAAAAAATATCTCATTGTCATAATAAAGAATGAATTGTAGTTTTTAAAGTTTAGAGTTGAAAGAAAAGCTTTATCTCACCATTTGTATACACGTTTACGCCTAACTATTTAGAAGGACTAATAAATCAACCTAAAATTACCCGAAACAGATAAGGTTTCAAGAAATTATGGAGGAGAGAGAAGATGATCGAATCAGTGCTTTGCCGGATTGCTTGCTTCTTGAAATCCTCTCTCGTTTACCATCCATAAAACGCACCATTAGAACAGGTACACTCTCCAAACGATGGAAACATCTTTGGACTTCAGTTCCTACTCTCTGTTTCAATGACTATACACGTACACTTTCCGATTTCATTTCATCCGTTGACAAAACCCTAACTCAATGTCATCAACTGAAGCTCAAGAAATTCCTTGTGTGTACCACTTATGATACTCAATATGTATCGCAAGTGAACAGTTGGATTCGTTATGCTATAAGTTGTAAGGTTGAAGATTTTAGTTTAACGTTATGGAATACGAAATTTGAAGCTGAGTTTCTGTTAGAACAAATTTTTTTCATTAGTTCATCTTTTACCGATCTGACATTAAGAGGCTGCATATTCAATCCGATTGGGGCGATCAATTGGAAAAATCTTAGAAATTTGTGTATAACTTGGGGGAATTTACATGAAGATTTGATTGAAAATATATTATCCGGGAGTCCTGTATTGGAAACTTTGGTGTTGAGATATTGCTATGGTTATAGGCGGCTAGATATTACTTCGAAGAGCGTTAAGAACTTGGTGTTCTCCGGATACATGATTCCTGATGATGATGACGATGATGCTAACTATATTATCGAAATCAATGCTCCTAATATTTTGTCACTAACAATTGAAGATGATGTTGTGTTGTGGAGGCTTTTGTTGCTAAACATGTCTTCTTTAGTCGAAGCTAATTTAGACTATGCAAATATGGGGCATAATGAGATAATACCTGAAGAGGCGGAAGAAGAGATGCTTAAAGGATTATTACTAAAGCTTCGCCATGTCAAGGAGCTTAAAATTGGAGATTTATGTTCGGAGGTAAAGTTTCTTGTGTTTCACAATTTATGCTTTTATAATAATCATGTGAAGTTTTTAGTTATAGTAGTACTTTATTGATTATACTTTGATAAACATGTTAGGTTTTGTCTCGTTTGGAAGCAAAAGGTTTCATTTTTCCATCAAATATGAAGTTTCCTGATGTCATTCCACCTTTATGCTCTTATAGTAATTCGAATGAGATTGAAAGGTGCTCTTGCTTGGCCATGGTCCTAAAATTGATGTGCTTAATTGATTGATGACATTTGAACTTATCTTCGGGTACTTTTGTTATTGTGAATTATTTTCATCTCTTTTTTAACTTTTGTGGAGTTTCATTGTGCCGAGATGTTATGTTAAAAAAATCAACCAAAATTGAAGATTTTATTTTATTTTATTATTAGTAAATTGCATAGTTATTTTATAATTTTTATATTTAACTGTCGATTTGTTTGAACCCACAAATTTAGTGTTAACTAGTTTATAATCCGTAAGAACTACGGTTATAAAACTAATTAAACTTTCATATTAAAAATTCAAAATTATTAATCATTTATTTTAAATAAATTATTACTTATTTTCTAGTTATATAAAATTATAATCGATTATTTAAATAAGTATATGAAGTTATATCACCTTATAATTTGTATTAAATTTATTTTTTAATCTAATATTATTAATTTAATATAATTAGAGTGAGAAAATTTAAAATGGAAAAAACAATTATTAATTTAATATAAATAGAGTTTGATATTTTAAATTTAAATTTGAAATGGATAATTAATAGGTTGACAAGTAACATGATATATAACATATAATATTAATGAGGAGTTGTAATCCTACAACATTTGTCAATAGGAAAATAAAATTGTTCTTTTATTAGAATAGGTATATTCGTGTCTTCTATCAAATCAGGTGAGTATAAGGCTCGCCAACCTAATTTGAATCTAACCTAATAAGTAATGGGTTAGGTTGGGATTTTCAACTCTTTTCAACTAAACGGGTCAACACGTTTAATTAATTATATGGGTTAATTTGAGTTAGGGTTGGAATTTGTAATATGATTTCAAGCTATAATTTTTATTTTTTAAAATAATAATATGCACTAAATAATATTTTAATTATTTTATATTTGTGCTTGTATTTTTTTTTAAACTTGAATAATTATTTAGAGTTTGTAGCCTTTTTCTAATTTTATTTCAATAATTATTAGAGTGTGTAACATTTTTAATTAGGTGTGAGTTTTTATTTGTTATTTTATTTAGTTTTTGAAAGTTAAATATGTCAATTTGGGTTCAACTCGTTTATTAAACATGTTAGTTTGGAAGAAACAAAAATAAACATATCAACCCTCTTTCAACTCATTTAATAAATATGTTCAATTGTGTCCGGAATTCTCATGAGTTAATATATTCAACATGTTTAGTTAAATATGTCAATCCGAATATGACTCATTGACTCATTGACACCCTTATGTAAATACAAGGTAAAAGTATTGAACAATGGAATAATAATGACGATGCCCCATGATAAGTTACGTTTTCGGCTCTTGTTTGGTTGAGATAGACCTAGAGGTATACAAATAGGTTTTAAATCGAGCTATATTAAAATCTGGCTTGGATTTTATGAACGAAATAGGTTGAATTCGGTTTGGATGATTTCATGGGCAAAAATGTTTGAACATATGGCAACAATTATAAATCAGGTTAAATAACTGTTTTGAAAAATCTATATTTTCACAAATTTTGCCACATTTTTAAACACTTGATTTCAGTGTTAGAATTTAACCAAACTTTCATGGTTGATAAGAAAGATCCCGATAAAAAAAATTATAAGTTTGTTATGATGTAAGGTGCTTTTCGGCCACTCGACATTGTTTACCGTTACAAAACTCAATTTTCTACACCTAACTTTTAATTAAGTGTTTTTCATGCATTTGGGATCATTAAAACGATCAAAACCTTTCTTGGAAAATCTCCAAAACCTTCTATCAAGAAAAATTTATGAAGTGATGGATGAAAACGACATTTTTCTACCACATAAAATGGGTGTTTTAAAGGTCTTAACTTGGTTTTAGTTATACCGTTTAACTAAAACGGGTTAAAACGTTAAAAATATCCAATTTTTATGTAGTAAAAAAATGTCGTTTTCATTCATCACTTCATAAATTGTTCCTGATAAAACGTTTTGGATATTTTCCAAAAAAAGTTTTGACCGCTTTAATTATTCCAAACAAACAAATCCATGAACACTTCTGGCGCATTGTTGAACCCAAACGTAATCACCACAAACTCGTAATGATCGTAGCGAGTCCGAAACGCGGTCTGTTCCACATCTTCCTCGCTCACCCTGACCTGTGGTATCCTGATCTCAAATCAATCTTGGAAAACGAAGATGCACCTTGCAACTGATCGAAAAGATAGTCTATCATCGGGAGTGGATAACGGTTCTTCACCATTAACTTGTTCAGCTCCCTATAGTCAATGCACATCCTGTGTGAACCATCCTTCTTCCTGACAAAAAGTGTAACAACCAGAAATTTCTAACTTTTACGTCCTCCATCTTATCAAAATTAGCCTCGTTTTGCTATTTTAAAATGTATTTTTAGGTCTATATAAGTGTTATTAGGCATAGTATAATCAAGATATGAGTCTTGGGAAGGTTTAGAATGTGTGTTGCATTGCAAAATCGGGCCAAACACACCAAGCAAGGTGTGTACGGCCGCATATCCGAGTGTGCAGCCGGCCAATCACACACAACCGACCGCACACCCCCTAGCCTCACACTCCAGCCTATATAAAGGACCCTAAGTCAACCTTACACCCTTTTTCCCACTCCTTCAAGGCTGGAACATTCTCTCTCAAGAATCCTTCGAGTTTTCCTCTCCAATCGGCAATACAAGTAAGTAAACATCCTTAGATCATTACTACAACACATTAGAAAGCCTTTTCCTCGAGTTTGATCCATGAAATCATCGTCCTAGATGATCTTCATATGTGTACGGCCGCACATACATCTTTTAGTCCTAAAATGGACTTATACACTCATCTAAGCATAGCATCCACCAAAACACCTTCTTAGGATCATCACAAAGCCTTGGAAAATCGATTTAGACACGTTTGTATGGGAGTGTACGGCCGCACACACATGGTCGTGCACCCTGGCCGCACACATACCAATATGGTGTATTTTGACCATACACTCCCTTGTATAGCCGTACACCCCTTATATACAATCATGTATGATTGTAACACTTTAATATAAATGTATACCAGTCCCTAAGGTGGTCCCAATTCAATAATTAATTGTTACAAACACTAACTATATACATGCATATGTCATTATCTGGTTAATAGGATTCGTTTGTGCTCAAGTCCACAATTGTCACTCAACCTCCTAAACCGATCCTACCGTCACATCACTCATTACAGGTGAGTTCATACCCCTTAATAAACCTTTTAAATGTTTTAAATGCTTTATGAGGGGGGAGGGATACAAGTTGAATCATGTTAGTTATTAGATCAATCACATGTGATTAATAACTAGCATGCAAATGGATTTTTCATACTTTAAACTATTTTACCAAACAAATGACTTCAAACTACTTATCAAACTATTTTACATATCAAACTCTTTATCAAATTCACTTTTGTATACTAAACCTTTCCTGTACAGTTTTCAAACTTATATATATTGTTAAAACCATGTCTAATACATATATAGTTATATAAATAAGGTTTGAAGGACTTAGCAGAGATAACCCACTTTACTTCCTGTCCTTGCTTGGTTGTGGTCTTAAAGTACCCGGTTTTTTGACCGAGTGTCATTGAATCCTTAGTTATATATTATGTATATATGTATAGATATAAAGACTTTTATCTCAGTTCAGTACATTCAGTCATACAAACAAGTCTACTAATAAACTATAATAGGTATAGTTTAGGGTTATACTACTTACTACTTCTAGTCCAATGAAGCATACAAAAGTCAGTTCATTCATGAGTCATTACTTATTACTATGAGAACATATACAACTATACTATGATGAGAACATATACAACTATACTATGATGAGAACATATACAGTTATATTGTGATGAGAACATATACAACTATACTATAATGAAAACATATACAACTATACTATGATGAGAACATATACAACTATACTATGATGAGAACATATACAATGATACTATGATGAGAAATAATACATTACATATACAAGTATACTTTAACATAAATGTGATCCAATGTATCGGAGCATGCCTTCATCGTCATGGGCCAAGTTGTGACTAGAACCTCCTGGAGGGAGAGCGTGAGTTTATGTATAGATCTATACTGGATTGACTTTCCTACACCTTGCTGCTAGCTACAGTGGGATCTGCTGGTCTACGGGTGCCAAATGTCATTTCTTTCGACGTCTTACATCGTCGTGTTCATAGTCGATAGTATGGTACAATTAATCACATAATTGTTGGGTTATGAGCATTCTAACACTCCTAAGTGTACATGCAACCCTAAATACCTTGGATCTATGTTTTCTCTATTATACATGCAAATATGAACATCCAAGGTATTATCCTAATCTAGCATACAAAATAATGGATATAACAAGATAGAATACATACCTCTTTGATAGTGCTTGTCTTCATGAAGCTTGAGTGCTTAGTGCCTCAAGTGTGACACCTCAAGTGGTTCACACAACACCAAATACACTAGGAATAACTTGAGAGAAACTAGAACACTTCATGAAATCGGTTAGCCCTATCTAGAATAATCTAGTCACCGATTTTGGGAAGAATAATATCTTTATATAGTGTTACAATTAGGGTAAACCCTAATTGTCATGACTTTCCATTTCCTTGGATCCATGGGTTCAAATACACCATGGAGCATCCATGGAGCATCATATGGGTTTTGGCCCAACTAGATAATCCATGGAGCATTAGCCCACTATATAAGTATGGATGATTTACACAATCAACCCATATATTTAATTAGTCTTCTTTTGATCACTTAATTAATCCTAGATTAATTCTTGATCAATACTAATTAAATAATCTTATTATTCTTATTATTAATATACTAGAACTTATAATATATTAATAACCATAAGTGTCTTATTTCTCTCATTATAGTCTATCCAAGTGCATGATGCCATGCAACCCAAATGGACCATGCCGGGTCGGGTCAAGTCTTACCAATTATAGTTATGGACTTAGACATTAATCCAACAGTCTCCCACTTGGATAAGTCTAAAACTATTATTGCGTATGACTTCAGGAACCAACTGGCAATCGTAGCTCTCAAAAGCTTCTGTCGAACTCTGACCTTGTAGATGAACTCTGATCTTTGTCAATGACTTGT